TTCTCTCTATTATAATAGTTCTTCTTACCTAACTCCACTACTAGATTTTAAGTTTTTCCAAGGCAGGGACCTTATCTTTTTCAGCTTTTTTTCCAGGGAGTTAGGATGGTACATAGCATGTTGTTGAGAATATACACGGCAAAACATACACTAACTCATCAGTTCCAACATGTATAGTGTAAAAAAAAAAAAGATACATGTACAGTTTAGTGATACTGATTATATTCTTCGGCTTGGCAACCATTCTCGCCCTCCTTTTCTGAGTTATTCTTCCCCCATTATCATAAATTCATAGCCCTTTGAGGTTCCTAGTAGATAGACTTGTAATAAATGTTTATTGAATAAAGAAAATAATCAAATCCCAAATCCAGCTGTTCCATAAGACAAGTAATTAACTTGATATGCAGACATTGTTTTTTGTTTTAGGAAGAACCTTTTCTAAATTCTAATACTGAGTTTTTCTTTCTTTCTTTTTTAATTGAGATTTAATTCACATATTGCAAAATCCACCCTTTTAAAGCTTACAATTCAGTGGGTTTTCCTATGTGGCCTTTTTTGACTGGCTTTCTTTCATTTAGTATGTTTTCAAAGGTTCATACATGTTATGACATGTATAAGTACTTCATTCCTATTTATGGCTGAATAATATTCCACTGTATGGATATGGGTACTGAGTTTTACATATGCCAGTCCTGGAAGTATGCTTTCTTATGGTTTCTGTATTTTTATAAATGGAAGCATGTTAGTATCACTTTCATTTTTTCTTTCTTAAGTCTTCCTCTCTCCTCTTTTTGAAACAATCACAATACAAAGAAATGTTTTTCCCTGAATCTCTTGAGAGTGACTTGCTTACCTGATGGCCCATTTACCCCCAATTACTTTTGGTGTGGAGAGCTCTGGTAGCGTAGTGCCTAAGGCAACTTGACTGCTAACCAGAAGGCTGGCGTTTCAAACCCACCAGCCACTCCTTGGAAGGAAGACAGGGCAACATACGTCCATAGTGATACTGCCTCAGAAACCCAAGGAGGGGTCACTGTGAGTCAGGTGTGACTCGACGGCATGTAACAACAACAACTTTTTGGTATGTATTTCCTACAAAAAAACATATTCTCTTACATAATCACAATATGACAATCATAGTTAGGAAATTAATATTAATACATTATTATCATATACTCATCTGACTCCATTTGAGTTTCATAAGTTGTCCCAAAAATGTCTTTTATACCAAAAGAATCTAATTTAGAATCATGTGTTGCTTTTAGTTGCCGTATCTTCAGTATCTACTAAAAGCCAGGTCTTTCCAGACTTTTATGACCTTGACACTTTGTAAGTTATCAGCCAATTATATTTTAGAAGGTATCTTAATTTAGATTTGTCTGATGTTTCCACAATTAGATTCAGATTATGCATCTATAGCAGGAATGTCCTAGAATGAGCTTCTCATTGAATTCTATCAGGTGATGCATGATTTCAGTTGTCCCATTACTGATTACAGTAGTGTTCATTAGACTTCTCTACTATATGAGTCGGGTCCGACTCGACAGCACATAACAACAACTATGAAGTTACTCTTTTTTCCATTTTAATTGAGAAATACAGTATTTTGTGGGGATGTATTTTGAAACGATCCAACTTTAGGTTTATTCATTTGTTTATATCTGCATTGACTTGGGGGTGTGTGTGTTTTGATTGCATTCAATAGGTTATAATCTGTTACTATCATTATTTATTTTGATGCTTAAATTGCCCTAAGTTTGGAAACACTTTCATGCTTTTTAACACAATATGTTCCAGGCCCATCTTGCACTTTTCTTAATCAGCCTCTAGCATCAGCTCTTTTAGTGGAAAATTATATTTAGAAGTCACAATCTGAGTACTAGGTATGCATCTTGCTATTGGATTGTTGCTGCTCCCATGCCCTCTCAGTGAAATATACATCTACACAGATACATACATTATTTGACATATTTATATGTTATGTTTGTTATGTGCCGTTGAGTTGTCTCTGACTTATAGTGACCCCTCCTTGGGTTTCTGAGATGGTATCACTACGAAAGTAGATTGCCCAACCTTCCTTCTGAGGAGTGGCTGGTGTGTTTGAACCGCCAACCTTCTGGTTAGCAGTCAAGTGCCTTAGGCACTACACCACCACAGCTCCCGTGTATTTATATGTTGTTGTTGTTGTTTGCCGTCGAGTCGGCCCCGACTCATAGCGACCCCTCCTTGGGTTTCCGAGGCAGTATCACTACGGAAGTAGTAGGTACCTGTATTTACAGAGTTGTTGGGTATAGTGTAAATGGTATATATCTGTATTATATAAATATTAAAGAACTGTACATCTACTTATTTCTGTATCTATCTGTATACATTGAAATGAGTTTACATGCATACATTCAATTTCAATATATCACCATATGGTTTGTTCTAGTTTTCTCTTTTTCTATACTTGTAACTTCATTTTTCACCAGAGGAGCTCTGGTGGCATAGTGGTTAATGCTTTTGGCTGCTAACTGAAAGGTTGGCAGTTCGAACCCACCAGCCACTCCATAGGAGAAAGATGAGGCAGACTGCTTCCAAAAACATTTACAGCCTAGGAAACACTATGAGGCAGTTCTGCTCTGTCCTGTAGGATCACTATGAGTTGGAATTGATTCAATGCCAGTGGGTTTTGGTTTCTTCAACAGTGAGAAACCTGGTTTCTGTTATTCATAATGTATTTACATATAAGTGTATCAGTCAGATATCTCCTATCTCTGTCACCTCCTCCCCATAAGAACATCCCTCCTTGCTTAGGCTCTGACTCTTCATTCTGGTCCTGTGCCCCAACTTTGTCCCACACATGAATACCTTCCTTAACTCTGCTTAACTCTGACATCGCATGGTGGGTTGGCTCCATGCTTAAATGTTTACCTTGCTCTGTTTGGGTTCTAACTTGCCATGCCAAGCTGTCCCCTAATCCTGCATGGATCCCCTTTTCATCCCACTTTGGCTTAGACACTCCACTCAGGCCATCCCTCATTGTGGACATCTTCACCTTTTCGGGTTGTGACACTCTACACCAGTCTGTTTCGCCACATGGGACACTCCACTTGGGATCTTATAACCCACTTGAGACCAGCCTCCCTTCCTGCCTCCACCAGCATGTAGGTACTTTTTTCACAGTGCTCAGCCTCTAATTCCTAAACCAGATCACCCCCTGGTGTGGACATTCTTCTTACTCTGCTTGGGCTCTGATACCACCCCAGGCTGGGCTACCCTTCAGTGTGGACACCCTTCCCAACTTGCTTAAGATTTAACCCCCACAACACGAGGCTACCACATGAATATCCTCTTCTTCCTATTTGGGTTTCAATACCCCATAGTAGGTCCACTCATGCTCTGATCTTCCGGACCGACCACTCCTTCACTGCAACACCCTCCCTACCTGCTGGGGCTCTGAATCCTTACATCAGACTATTCTCTCTTGCTCTGGCTGATGCTCCATTCAGTGCAACCACAACCCCCCCCCAACACACACACACACACACACAGACCTCTCTAAACCTTCCTTATTCTGTTCTTAATGGTTTTAGAACTGAATTGTTCAGAAGAAGGGAAAGCATCAATTCTTTGACCTCACTGAGATATTTTAACTGGCTGATTTGTTTTACTACCAACTTGTACTATGTGGGAGTATCAAATGAGCCTAACATCCTTCTGATGACATAAAAAAGTTATTCATGTTTAATATGGTTTATAGGTTACTTTTATAAGAAACTTTTCTTATACATGCTTTGAAAATAGAGTTCATTGTTCATAAATTACTAATGAGATTAGTTCAATTCAGAGTTTCAAAACATACTGTTTCTCAACTAACACTGTATTTTACCTATCTTTAAAAACATGTAGAAACAACCCAAGTGTCTATTAGCAGATGAATGGATAAATACAATGCAATATATACATACAATGAATTACTGAGTTGTAAGAAGGAATGAAGTTATAATACATGCTTACAACATGAATAGACCTTGAAAACATAGGCTGAGTGAATTAAATCAGACACTAAAGGATAAATATTTTATGATTCCATTTATATGAAATGTATAGACAAATTCATAGAGACAAAAAGTATATTAGTGGTTACCTAGGGCTGGAAGATTTGGGTGGGAAAACTGGTGACTTCTAAGATACAGGGTTTCTTTTTAGGGTGCTAAAAATATTCTAAAAATGACTATGGTGATGGTTGGTATCCTTCAACATATATAATTATTTTTATATAGTTCTTTCTACCCAAATGGTGGCATATACATTGTTTATTTTACATATTCATATATAAAGAATTTCATTAGTACATAATAATTTTTTCCTTCTTTTTACAACTGAATAGTATTTCTTTATATACCACCATTAATTTAGCCAATTTCCTGCTGATGTACATTTTAGTTGTTTCCAGTTTTCCTCTATTACAAACATAGAATAAATAAGTCATTTTACTTCTGTGTGAGCATACCTTTGGATAAATTCCTAATAATTTAGGGTATTAATATTGCTCTTTCTCCTCCATGAATGTTGTACATTGCTTGTTTAGGAAATGACAAAAAGAAGTATGAAAGAGTGTGAGAGATTAAAGGTGTGAGAATCAATAGTAACCAAAATGGTTATAACAGGAATATTATTAAAATGGGGTGAGAAGATACAGATGAGCCTAAGCCAAGAGGAATGAGAAAAAACTAGCGGGTTTTGTGGTATGTATATATATGGAACTTATTTCTCATTAAATTATCCAATCAATTAATGCTCTAAAATTCTAAAATTAATATTCTTAAATCTATATTTGAGCTTATTTAGACATTTTAATGTGATGCTTTGTTTATAAAAGCTCTTCATATCTTTAAGAAAAAAATACCCTTGCTGTTTTCATTTCAGATTTACATTTAGCATTTGTTGACCAAGATTTTATCTTTTCATGCATAAATAATTTTTACTTGAAATGTACCTTTTTCTTTACCCCTTAGCCCTGGAAGAAAGCGGGACTTTTCCCCTGTTTCTTGGAGTCAGTATTTTGAGTCCATGGAAGACGTGGAAGTAGAGAATGAAACTGGCAAAGATATATCCTTTTGCATATATATGATATATGGCTTTTTCTTTATAAGCTTATTACATTGTCTAAGTTAGAAAACTTGGAAGTTTCTAAAATATTCTTTATTCTTGTTATTTATTTCATTTTATTCCCCACCTATACAACATAGAATATTTCCTTTAAGTACATGCCAATATCTCATTGGCTATAATTGTCTAATGCATGGGAAAGGATTAAGAATTAAATTACCCAATATATACCTGAACCTGATAGGTTTCTTAAAGGGTCCAGGGAAAAATTTTAAGAGTCAAGTGTGTTGAACCTGTTTAGCTTTTAGAAACCAAAGACTGTTCTTCAATTAGAGTAAAGAGATTTTTTTTTCCTCCTTTATTGGAAAAATGGGTATATACTGACTCCATGCTTCAAAATCAGAGGTTTGGTGTCTCAGAAGCTTAACTATTTAAGTTTCTCTTAATTTTGGAAGTCTGTAATTTTACATGTAGCTTAGTACTATCTGGGTTTTCTTATCAGTATTATTATGACTAAATAGTTGAAAACATCTGTGAGTGAAAACTTAGATCTTTCGTCTTTAACTGTTCATACACTTTTCGCATTTACAAGAGTGGTTCAGAAGGTCCAGTCCTACTTCTTCTGCACGGAGGAGGCCATTCTGCCCTATCCTGGGCTGTGTTCACAGTAAGTAAGTTGTTGATAGTAGAAGCTGATCTTGGCACAATCATTGTTTCCTTCTGGATGAACCTCAGTCTAACTCTTCTATATGGCTTGATGTAAGAAAGAGGTTTGAGTGGATACCTGAATATTTATCTTAGCAGGGACAAGATCGTCATTCGTTTAAACCAGAGGTTTTTAACTAGGTGTGACTTGTTTTCATGGATTCTTGAAACAAATACTATGAATTTGTATATATGTGCACTAAATGAGGGGAATGGAGTACTTGCCTTTTCAAAAGTATAGGGGTCTGTATCCAGTAATCTCTATATTGGGTTGTGAGTAAACAGACATTATTCAGGTACTTTAGATAGAGATACAGATATCCCTTGCTTTCTGAAAGTTTGCTTTACATCAGTTTGCTTTTACGAAAGACCTACCTTACATTAGTATCTCTTTTCACTAGCTGAAAGAAATATGAAGAGGATTTTCTCTTTTACAAAAAAAAAAGACAACTAGTGTTCAGTATTTGTTTTGCAGTGTGCCATTAAGGAGGCAGTATGCATCCTGAGTAGCAGGAGTGTCTATACCAAGCTCCTTTCCTGGGAACTATTCTCAGCATTAAGCTGCCATAGTTTTGAACTGTTTCTGTGAACAACTACATGTTTGTGTTATTTTAGAGTTTATGTGTTTGGTATAATTAAGTAGGGGTTTTTTGGGGGGTCTAGAATACTCAAAAATTTTCCCTTTATAAATTAATGATAATTACTTTTTCACTTTATGCCATTTCAGCTTATAAAAGTTTTCATAGAAACACTCTTCTTTCAGATAGTGGGAGAAAACCAAACCCACAATGCTTCTCAGTTTTTCTCCCTTGCAGAGCTTATTGTACATTGCACATGGAGATGGCACATAAATATTTGGAAAATGTTTCTTTTTTTAAAAAAAATAATGCCTTATATTTTAATGGCACTTGTGAGCTACTGGGAAGTAAACAATATTTAGTTGATGATATCCTGGCCTAGAGTAGAGGATATATGTCTGTGTGAATGCTGCGAAGCATAGATCTTCCTAATAGCCTTTCTCTAGGGTGGGACAGCCCATGTGTAAGGGGAGACACTACAAAGGAAGATGCAACATTCATATCTAAAATGAAGTTGTCATCTCTTCTTGTGTGTATCAAGCAGATATATATTACTCTTGACCACTAGAGAGCCTAAAGGACAAAAAATGGGAGGAAGTGGGAATGCAGCACTAGATACCTGGAGCATTGTGACTGTAGGGTTTAGGAAGGCCCTGAACGTATTACCTTGTTCTTGGCAGTGGGAATTACTAGGTTTGAATATAAAAGTACCTTCCTATCTCTTTTATTATACTGTGAATTCCTTGAGAACAGGAATTGTGTTATTCCTTTTTATTTCCCAAATGACTGAAACAATTCTTTTTTTTTTTTATTAGGATTTGGGTGAAGATTTACAGAGTAAATTCACTTTTCATACAGCAGTTCACATATACTTTGTCTCATGTCATTGACCAAAATTTACAATGCAGCAGCTCCCCTCCCACTTCCTCCCCATAGTTACCTCCTCCCAGTGTCCATCCCTTCATACTCTTCGAGAGGCCCATTGTCTGCCAACCCTGTATATGATCTTGGATACACTCTCCATTTAGACATACATAATTGTTTAGCTTGTTCACCCATCTATCCGTCCCTATACCCATGTTTGCTTTCATTGACAACTCAGTATTGTATTTACAAAGGGGTTCATATTTGTTGTTTGTACTGCCCATGTAACTCTCTCTGTCTTTCTCATCCTCAATGCTGCCATATTGGTCACTCACATTTGGTACATTGCCCTTCTCTTCACCCAAATCAATATTTATCTCTATCTGTCTAACAGCATTCCCTCCCCTTCCCTCCCACCCCTGGTAACCAACAAAGAAAATGTCCTCCAATATATAAACCTTTCCTTAACTTTCACAATAACGGACTAATACAATATTTGTCCTTTTGTGACTGACTTATTTCGCTCAGCATAATGTCCTCCAAGTTCATCCACGTTATGCGGTGTTTTGCAGATTCTACATTATTCTTTAGCGTTGCATAGTATTCCATTGTGTGAATGTACCAAAGTTTGGTTATCCATTCCTCAGTTGTTGGACATCTAGGTTGGACTGAAACAATTCTTGACATGTAGGTACTTACTTAGCAGTTATTAAATGGCCAAGTGATTTAGCTGGTGTCTTGTTTGTACTTCCTTTCTTTTTAGGATGTAGCTGTAGGATTTGCCCATAATTGCCAGGCTTTTTCATGTCTCTGGACCAGCACTGTCCAGTAGAAATATAAAGAAAGCCACATATGTTATTTTAAATTTTCTGTAGTCATATTAATTAGGTAAAAAGAAACAGATGAAATTAATAATATGTATTTTATTTAACCCAGTATATCTAAAATACTATCATTTCAACAGGTAATACCAACATAAAAAAATTGAGATATTTTACATGCTTTTTATATTAAATCTTTGAAATACAGTATGTATTTTGTACTTAGAACATATCTCAATTTGATCTAGCCACACCTCATGTGCTTAGTAGCACAGCTCTAGCCATTACATTCCTCCTTAACTTGGTTGTGAGCTCTTTGGAGGTAAAGGCGACCATGGCTTATTAATGCCTGTCATATACTGTATGCTCAAGGAATGCTTTTTGAATGAGTAACAGCAGCACATGCTTATTTCTAATGTAGCAGCTCTAGTAATAAACATACCCAGTTGCCCTGAGCAGTCACACCAAGGTCAGCGCCAACAGAAATGGCTTATATTTCTTAATTTGCCTGACTCTGCACTAAGCTAATGTACTGTCACTAGTTAGCTAACACATTGGAGACCTGAAAAGAAAGAGATGTGTGACTGGGGAGAGGAAAAAGGCACCATCTTGGCATGTCACATTGATAAAACTGCATTGTAACTTACAGGGTATAATGATTTCAGGCTCTGCCTCATAAGAAATTTAGCAAAAAGTAATCTGTACATAGGAAACACTTTGTTCTGAGGATAGTACTTTAAGAAGATTTTAGAAAATTTTGAGAATTACATATGTAGGCCAGAGGTAGTCTCACTATAATTTCTGAACTTATAATTAGCTCCCCCAGTACTCAAGCACAAGTGCAGAGCTAATATTACCTATTTGTGCGTGCAGGGTCCTTAGAGGTGAGGTACCTCAGAAAGGCTAAAACAGATTTTCCATGAAACCAGCTCTTGATACTAAGTGAAGGAAATAATGAACTAAGATTCAGGCAATGCAATTTTTAGTTGTTATTTTTACCTGTACTGGTCATAAGGCCTTAAGGAGCTCCTAGTGTTTAAGGACGTGGAACAAGGGGTATCATAGCTGTTATCAGATGGATCTTGGCTTAAGGCAAAGAATACCAGAAAGATATTTACTTGTGTTTTATTGACTATGCAAAGGCATTTGATTGTGTGGATCATGACAAATTATGGATAACATTGA